TACAGGCTGTCCCCCCAAAATGTATACACACTCTGAATGATTATAAAGTCAGTGTTTAGTAACATACAGTTCATTTTCAAAATTGAGTTATCAGCTATTAAAGTGTGTATGCATTTTTGGAAGACACCCTATATTTAAGAACCAAGAGGATGCTCTCTGAGTAGCTTTTTATTACTAACTAGGACTAGGTCCCCTCCACCCACGGAACTCTTCAGAAACAAAAAGCGAAGGCTCGCCGTGCCCTGAGCTTCCTTGAAACGCGCGCCGCAGACGGCAGAGGCTCGTCTGAAGTTCCGACCATCGCGCTGTGTTTCAGAGTTTTCCGCTCGCTTTCAGCATTTAAGCAGCAACAACAACAGAAAGTACACTCCAGTCTGGAGGGCTCTGCTCCTCGGGACTCGGGCGGCTTTCTCATCCCACAGCTCAGTGCTCATTACACAACAAAACTCACGGGCCGAGAACGGCTCGGAAACGCACCCTCAGGTAGACTCGCACCCACTTCAAAGGGAAACCCCCAAGATAAAATGGTAGGAGCTTTTGAAGCCTTCTGCCGTTTTGTAAAATACATACTGTACCAAAATACCACCATTTTTGGTACAGAATCTTTTCTTGCTGGGTACAAAGGAAGTTAAATGAAAGTCTTTGTATAGCAAAGGCACCAGGAGTGGCGTCCGGGGAGCAGCCCCGAACCCCACCGCTTACCGGCCGCTGGGGGCAGGTGGGCCAAGCCGCAGGCTCGGCCACTTACACCACCAGCTGCCTGGCACTCGTTCTGGAAGGGGGAGAAGGGCAAAAAATTTAAAATATAAATTGAAAGCCACCACAAGGAAAGAAATGTGAGCTACTTAGGCGAATTAGAAAATGGGACCGGGGAGGTTGGGAAGGGGAGGAAGAATCTGGCCCTTGTGGGAGGTGGTGGTGACACTTTTAGAAAGTAGATGAATTTCGAGGGGGAGGGGGGAGTGGGAAGGTGGAGAAGAGGGAGGGAGAGATGGATCTGTTGTGTAAATTCTTACTTTTTGGTTAGCTTTCCAAAATCAAGGCATCGTTGTCATCCCGGAGGGATAAATTCCTCTCTTTAAAACAGATTAGGAGCCGCTGGATTCCAATAAACAAGACGTTGTATCCGTTACAGGAACTAAAGTCTGTGGGGCTTGCTTCTCAATTTAAATACTATTTGGTCAACTGAACTCCACTTGTTAAAAACATTTATTTTACACATCAATTTTTTTATAATGTGGTAATCCACATACCACATGAAAAAAAAATTCAATCAGATTAAAATATTCAAACAAAATGCTTTTAATTCCCCTATGAGAATTCTGCCCCAAATATGGACTGGGGAAAAGTTACTTTCTTCGCAGACTGTGATAGTTACAGTCTCCAGTGATCACTAACAAACACGGAACACTTCTCTATTTTCAAAAGAAAACATTAGAAATCATTATGAAACAGCTTGGCCCAGAAATCACAGTCAATCTGAATTTCGCAGAAATTAGGAAGCAATCCTTAGACGACTGTTTTGAAACACGTCTGATGAAACCCTGTGATGTGACAACATTTTATTTAAAAGAAGGAAAAATAAAATGTGAGGAAGAGCCCAGTGTCTGGAGAAAAGTGAGCCAATTCGTCAGTAAATCTGAACATGAACCACAGTCTTCTGGCCAATGTTGGGCCAAATGGCACAGCAGCCAAAATGCAGAAGCCTCCTTTACCAATACAGGTGCCCTACACCTGCCAAGCCAGTGCTGGTCGGCACATCCCTCTATGTCTAATGAAAATGCCATCATAAATGTAGTCCCAAGGTGTAAGACTCCTCAATCCCCAAAAGCTGTATGTGGCCAACAACCTCCAGCCTTTTTCTACCCTACTTTCCCATCTCCCTCTACTAATAG